AACAGATGGTGATAGAATACACATTTTTGCATTGTACCCCAGGACACCTTCATAGAATAAACTATGGATTTGTGCCTTTCTACATATCCTGGTCTTTTCATCCCGCTGGTCTGAGAGCTCACCACGAGCCAAAATTCTATCTGGGCAAGGCTCGGGATCTTGCTCTGTCGCTGAGGGCTGCAGAAGCAGTCTTAGGGATCCCAAAGGGACCCCAAAACCCCACCAGCGACAGGACGGAAACCACAGAGCCCCAGTGTTTCAGAGACTGATGAACTGCAGTCACCAGAGACCAATGCCAGGCACACCTGTCTTTCCTGGCAAGTTTGTCTGGGAGCAACCCTGGGATATTTGAAATTTTGAATGTGGAATTTCCATTTCACCCCTTCCTGCCTGGAGGACATGGCCAGTTCTTTTTCATAGAAAGAAAAGCACACAACCTAAGTTTTTGGAAGACAGGTAAGAGCTGACCCTCAGGAGGGCAAGGTCAACTAAACCATTTGATAATGGCAGCTTTTGTCTGGAAGCAATCCCTGGATATTGGGAATTTTGGAGGTTGAATCCCATTTTGGCCATGAATGCTTTAGTGAGGACAGTTCCTTTCCATTTGAAGGAAAGCCCAGAGCCCCAGTGTTTCAGGGGCACTTGAGAAGAGACCCTCGAAATGCCAAGTGCAGTTGGACCAGTCCGGCTAAGTTAACCAGACCTGTTACCTGTTCCTTGGATCCAAGGGGCCCTACAGTGTCACAATGGTTGTGTCATATTGAATCCTTGGTTCCATGAGGCCCAGTTGTGTAACACGGGCTTCTTGTTTCCATGGGGCTCCATAGTGTCACATGGGTCTCTTGCTCTCTGAGCCCTTGCAGTGTCACAGGGGTCTCCTTGGTTCTGCAGTATCCCAATGGACCCTTGGTTCCATGGGGACTCACAATGGCAGAAGGGTCTCCTTGGTTCCATGAGGCCCTGCAGAGCCCCTTGATTCAATAAGGCCTCAAAGTGTCATCATGGCCTCCAGGATTCCATGAGGTCCCACAGTGTCACAATGGACCTTTGTTTCCATGGGGTCCTGCACTGTTCCATGAATCCTTAGTTCCATGGGGCCCTGTAGTGTCACAATGGACTCCTTGGTTCAATGGTGCCACACAGTGACACAATCACCCCTTGGCCCCACGGGACCCCATAGTGTCACAATGGTTCCTTGCTTCCATGAGGCCTTGTAGTGTCACAATGGACTCCTTGGTTCCATGGGGCTACAAAGTGTCACAGTGGCTCCTTGGATCAGTGAGGCCTGTGATATCTCAAGATTTTAGCCTTTATAGTTTTCAAATTCAGTACTGTATTAGTGCATAACTCTAAACTCCATGTAAAGTATTAGTTAACTCTCTTTACATTTTGGTCAGACAAAACAATTCATTCCCTTATGCCAGAAACTCAAGGACACCCTACAGCCTCAGGCTCTGAAAAGTATAAACAAAAGTGAATGGGGGAGAGCAATCTGGCAGAATATGACTTCATTACTTGAAGCTGTAATTGGGGGATTAACCCTTGATATGCAAACAAACTAAGGTTATATGTGTCTAAAAAACTTGTGACCACCATTCATCTTGGTTGTAGCCCCTGGGCCATTTTTGACTGCCCAAGGTAAATCTATTGAAGGCCTTTATTGAGGTGATGAGCCCTATTGAGATGATGTTAGGTCCTAGGTTGGACTTGAGGATCTCAAATGTCTTTTCCAACCTCATTAATTCTGTGATTCTGTTTCATAATAGTCTCCATTGTTCCATAAGGCCCTGCAATGTCACAATGGACCTTTGGTTTCATGAGTCTCCACAGTGTAACAAAGGACCCTTGGTTCCATGAGGTTCCTCAGTGTCACAATGGTCTCCTTGGATCCACAGTGTCACAGTGGCCCCTTGGCCACAATGGACTTCTGGTTCCATGAGCTTTCATACTCTCAGAAACATTTCCACAGTGTTACCACGGACCCTTTGTTCCATGAGGTTCTGGAGTATAACATGGTCACCTTGGTTCCTTGAGGTTCTGCAGTGTCACAATGGACTCCTTGGTTCTGTGAGGCCCTGCAGTGTCACAATGCACCCATGGTTGCAGGAGGTTCCACAGTGTCACCATGGCTTCCTTGGATCTGTAGTGTAACAATGGACCATTGGTTCCAGGTGGCCCCACAGTGTCACAATGGCCCCTTGGTTCCATGAGGCCTTTCTCTGTCACAATGGACTTTTGGTTCCATGAGGTTTCTCAGTGCCACAATGGTGTCCTTGGATCTGCAGTGTCACAAGGGACCACAGGCTCCATATGAGGCCAGCAGGGGACAAGTGAGCCTTGCTGTGCTGGGGCCTCATTGCCTCCTTGTCCCTGCTCAGCAGCCTGGCAGGGGCCGCCCCATGGTGCTGCCCTTGGCATTGTACATCCCCAGAGCCCAGTGGCCCAGGAAGAGCCCTGAGCAATGAGGGAGGGACAGGATCTGCCTTGCCAGGGGCTGGGGCTCAGCCCTTGGCCCTTTGCATTCCTGAAACACATCCAGGTTTGCTCAGCATCAGAGACACCTTTCCCTTGTTTGTCCCTCCCTGTCATCAGTGCCACCAGTGTTCTGCTCTAACTGGAACCTAGAGACACTTTCTCAGTCCTATCCCTCAGTGGAATACATTAAAACTTCATGAAATTTTGGAGTCTCAATTTAACTGAGTTCTTGAGGTGTTTTTTGAACACTCTGTCATAGATTGAGTCTGTTGTAAACAGCACCAAAGCCCTGAGGGGGTTATTAAAGACCTTGTGCTGTGTCTGTGCTGCTGAGCTCCTGGCACAGACATGGCTCCCAATGTAAACTAAGAGAAGCTTCAAAAAGACATTTCTGCTGAGGAGCAGCTCCTCTCCCAGCCCATCAGGGCTGAGGGCACTGCCTGCAGGCACTGAGGGGACAGGAGCCAGGCACAGACAGTCTCAAGGCAATCGGGACTGGGAAGACATTGAGCTGAGACTGCACTTGTGGAAACATCTTCACGGCCCTGGACATGGTGAGTGTGTGGGTGCAGGACAATGTCCCCTGTGCACCTGGAGGGATCTCCTGGAGCCAGCACACCTCACAGCCTGGGGGATGTGTCAGGAGGACTCTCCCAGTTTCTGTGAGGCACAGGAGGAGGAGGAGGAAGAGGAGGAGGATGTGCTGCAGAGCAGGGCTGCCCTGGGCACTGTCGGAGGGACAGGGCAGGACGGCTCCTGCTGCCAGGGACGGCTGCAGGGGCTGAAGCTGGGGCTGCAGCCAGGGCTGCCCAGGGCTGTCCTGCAGAGCAGCTCCTGCAGCCCTGAGGGATCTTGGCCAGCCCAGGGCATGTGCAACCTGCCAGGGGCACCTCTCAGCCTGCCTGGCAGCTCCCCATGGACTGTGGGGAGAAGTTGGAGGTGGAAGGAGCGACCTCCATCAGGGCAGATTCCTCCTGCTGTGGAGATGGTGCTGCATGGCCAGGGCTGCTCTCAGCTTTCTCCTCAAAGGAAGGGAAAGAGGCTGTCAGGTGTGTCTACGTCACTGAGACTCCTGCACTGTCCCACTGGGCATCAGCAGATCTGCCTCACATCTCCCTCACAAAGTGCCTCCTCACCCTCCTCTGCCTACAGACAGCAGCAGCAGCACCTTGGCTTGCAGCATCTCTTTTTGTCTGAGCTGCTCTTAAGGCCCTGCTGGCAGGGAGATGGCCCTGGCAGTGCCCTGTGCTGGGAGGGGTGTGCAGGGCAGAGCTGAGCCCCTAGGGCTGGGCTGGGCTCTGGGAGCACTGGCAGGGACAGGTCTTGGATAGAGAGAAACAACTCCCAGCAGGCACTACTCTAGGCAGAAGAGAGCGAGGCCAACCCTTGGTTTACTTCTCTCTGTTTTGAAATTAGAGCCTTCAAAAAGTCTGCTTTATTTTTCAAGAATGTTTTAAGTGCAATCACCCTGAAATAGAAGGAGGTGTAATGAGCAAAGGGCACCTGTGTGGGACCAGCAGGTCGGGCTGCACTGAGGCACAGGGAGCCTTGTTTTCCCTCTGGGCTCCCCAGTGTTCTGGCTGAGAGCAATATTGAAGATGAGGCAGGAATTCAGCACCTGAACACAGAAATAAAAAAATTTAGTGAATTTTCCCCACAGGAAGAGAAGTAGTTTTGAGTGGATTCCTAAAAAAATCTCATAGGGTTGAATCAAAGAGGTTGGTACCAGTTTGTCAATTTCTTTTTTCAACAGTCCACCTTGCCCAGAGTGAAGAAATGTCCAACAGCAGCTCCATCAGCCACTTCCTCCTGCTGCCATTGGCAGACATGCGGCAGCTGCAGCTCCTGCACTTCTGCCTCTTCCTGGCCATCTCCCTGGCTGCCCTCCTGGCCAACGGCCTCATCATCAGTGCCATAGCCTGCAGCCACCACCTGCACACCCCCATGTTCTTCTTCCTGCTCAACCTGGTCCTCAGCGACCTGGACTCCATCTGCACCACTGTCCCCAAAGCCATGTACAATTCCCTCTGGGACATCAGCAATACCTCCTATGCAGGATGTGCTACACAGATGTTTATCTTCTTCATTGGTGCAGAGTTTTCCCTCCTGACCATCATGTGCTGCGACCGCTACATGTCCATCCGCAAACCCCTGCACTACGGGACCCTCCTGGGCAGCAGAGCTTGTGCCCACATGGCAGCAGCTGCCTGGGCCAGTGCCTTTCTCAGTGCTCTGCTGCACACGGCCAATACATTTTCCCTGTTCCTGTGCCATGGCAATACCCTGCTCCAGTTCTTCTGTGAAATCCCCCAGATCCTCAAGCTCTCCTGTTCACTTTCCTACCTCAGGGAAGTTTCGCTTATAATGATTACTATCTGTTTGGTATTTGGGTGTTTTGTGCTCCTGGTTTTTTCCTATGTGCAGATTTGCAGGGCTGTGCTGAGAATCCCCTCTGAGCAGGGATGCCACAAAGCCTTTTCCACCTGCCTCCCTCACCTGGCTGTGCTCTCTCTGTTTATCAGCACTGGTACATTTGCCTACCTGAAGCCTTCATCCATCTCCTTCCCATCTTTGGATCTGGCACTGTCAGTTCTGTACTCAGTGGTGCCTCCAGCCCTGAACCCCCTCATCTACAGCCTGAGGAACCAGGAGCTCAAGGATGGCCTGAGTAAAATGATCATGAATGCTTTTCAGAAACAATAAGCTCTCCTCCTTCTGCATAGCTGTTGTTATGATCCATTTATGCTCCATTTGTGTCCTGTATTTTTTGCGACTGGCACAGGTGTTATACTTTTGAGAATCTGTTCACACAATAGTCTTTGACTGTGCAATTTTTAATTCAGTGTTTGACTTTCTAGCAAACCCAGAGACTGTATATCCCAGGAGTTGTCCTACCTATTTGCTTACACAAAATAAAAAACTCTGTATTGCCATGTTTGCCTGATATCTTTCCTCCCTGATTTCTCTGGAGATGCTGGGATGGTGCCCTTGGGCAGAGCTGGAGTGAAAAGGGAACCCCAGTGCTCCTCACTGTCAGGCAGCCCCAGGGCTTCTGCTCCATAACCTCCCCTTCCTTCACAGAGGTTGTTCCTCCCTCCCTGGACAGATATCAAGTGACCAGGTCAGGAGTCTGTGTTTGCAGTACAGGGACATTCCACAGCCCTGAACATCCTGTGTGTGTGTGAGGGGACATAAACCCAGTGAGTACAACACCTGCAGCTGTTCCTGGAGTTTCCAGAGAGTAACATCCCCTGGGGAGCCCTGAATGCAATGCTGGGATGAGCTCCTGTGCCCAGAGCTCCCCATGTCCATCCCTCCAGCTATGGGGCACCTCGGGCAGGGGCAGAGCAGGGTGACACCCGCAGGGCTGAGGTCCCTGCCAGGCTCTGGCAGTGTCAGCAGAGCCCAGGGAGCCCCTGTCCATGCTGCAATTAACTGTCTGTGTGTGTGCCAGGGAAGGACCCGTGTCCCTGGACACCCCTGGGGCTGTGAGCAGGGCATGAGCCCAGCTCAGGGCTGGGCACCTGACAGAGCCCTGACATTGCTGGGTGTGCCCAGAAGAGCAGAGTTGGGCAAGGTGACTGGTTAAACCCATCAAAGCATCAAGTGACATCCAAGTGTCTCTGTCACTGATCCTCCTTACTCAGGAAATTTCAGGAGAAATAAGGTCAAAAAATTGTGGGTCACCCTAAAGAGAGATTAATGTTAGGGAGACTAAAAAGCAAAGGCCAAATGCAGAAGTAAGGAAGACCATGGAGAGACAAGAATTCAGCACGTGCAGTGGTAGCTTTGGAAGACATATATATTATATACAGAAAATCCAGAGATCCTCTTGTCCCCCTCATTTCCCTGCTGATCAGAACATCCCATTGAATAGAAGATCTCTTGGGTCAGTCCAGCCCAGCTGTCCCATCCCTGTGTCCCCAGGAACACTTGCCCACCCCCAGGACATTGGCTGGGGGGTTGCAGAGATGCTTCATGTGGAGCCAGCCCTGCTCAGGAGCAGCCAAAGCCTCGGGCTGGGACCAAACCCACTCCAGCCAGGAGAGCCAAGCACAGCAGGGCAGGGGCTGCTCTGAGCAAAGGGAACTCCATCCCAGTCACACCCAGGCCAAGGGGGCTCAGGAGGGTTTTCTCATCTCTGTTATTCCACCATTCAATGAATCTTTTCCTTGGAGAGCTCTTTGAAGACAGAATTGGCAGAGAGGCAGAAGCAGAGCTATAAAACGCACAAGTACAAACACAGCAGCTCCTGTGAGGAATGAACCCTCCCAGGGCAGTGCTGTGGCAGGAGAAGCAGCCAGGAGGAGGAGGATGAGCTCAGTGCATGTGTGTGTGTCCCAAGGCACAGAGGGTGAGGGTGGGCAGAGGTCAGGGCAGGGCTGGCAATGGCAGGGCAGAGGCAGGGGCAGCAAGATGTGAGTGTGCAGCCTGCAGGGACACAGCAGAAGCTGTGCTGGACATGGCCAAGGGTCCTGGCAGGGCTGGCAGTGCCCAGGAGAAGGCAAGTCTTGGTGCCCTGGGGCACAGCAGGGTCTGTGCCACCAAGGGCTGTGAGGAGACACCTTGTCCTGAGCCACTGGGGGCTCCTGGCACAGCCCCATCAAGGCTGGGCACTGTCACCCCTTGTCCTGCCCTCAGCATCCCCCCACATCCAAATGGCCTCAGGGATCTCCTGGGACCAGTCCCTGGGGAGCCTTGGTCAGGAATGGCCCTGGGGGGCTCCTTCATGCTCCCAGGACTTTGGGGTTTGCTTTTCCCTTGGAGTCTCTGAGAGCTTTGTGCAATCATGGCCTCCAATTCTCTCCTCCAAGGAGTCCAGGAGGAGCCTGTGTTGGTGATGGACCTCAGTGGGACTGACACTGAAACTGCATGAAAACCAGAAACCAGAAACTCATCTCAGTGTTAGAGAATTTAGGCATTACTTTCTTCTGGCCAGGATGTTTTTGTGGCCAGGATGTGAAATAGAAATCATTCCACCCACACATGCCTGGCATGTACAGTGAAAATCATTCCATCACACATGGTTCTTTACTAGGCTTTTCACATATTTATACAGAAAAAACCCATAGAAATTCACTTTCATTGATCTTAAATTGCACAATTCTTAGTATTCAATCTCCTTTTGGTTATTGATCCTTTTTTTGTTTTGGTTTGGTTTTTTTGTTGTTGTTGTTGGGTTTTTGGTTGGGTTTTGTTTGTTCAGGGTTTTTTTGGGGTTTTTGTGGTTTTTTTTGGTTGGTTGGTTTGGGTTTTTTGTTGGTTTTTTTTTTTTTTTTTTTGTTACTTAGGTACTCATTCTTTGATTCTCTAATAAATCTTTTCCCAGACCAGGTGTCTCCACCTGGTGGTGGGGGTGATGTTCATCGACGTTCATTTATCTCCTGTGTATCTTCTGGTTACTCCCAATCTTCTGTAGATGTTAAACTCATCAGGCCTCACTGAAACTTGGTGAACAGAGTCTTTTAAAGAGAAACTTCAATTCCCCTCTCCCTCATGCCTGGGGAAAGGCAAACAAGCCCCTGACTGAAGTTACATTAAAAAAACCTTAAATTTTTATAATATGCAGTAATTCCATTAGGTTCCAGGTCACAATGCTCACTTTGGATCCCTGATGCCATGCAGTGTCACAACTGCCCCTTCATTCCATGAAGCCCTGCAGTGTCATAAAGGTCTCTATAATTCCATAAGGCCCTATAGTGTTACAATGGCCCCTTGCTTCCATGTGTCCCACACTGTGACGTGAATCCTTAGTTCCATGGGGTCCTGCAGTGTCACAATGGTCTCCTTGGTTCCATGGTGCCACAACTGCCCCTTGGTCCCACAAGGCCCCAAAGTGTCACAATGGCCCCTTGCTTCCATGACACCGTGTAGTCTCACAATGTTCTCCATGATTCCATACTGCTCTGCAGTGTCACAATGGACTGTTGGTTCAATAAAGCTCCACAGTGTCACCATGGCCCCTTAGTTCCATGGAGACCCACAGTGTCACTGTGCTCCTCTTGGTTCCACAGGGCCTTGAAGTGCCACAATGGCCTTTTGGTTCCAGCAGGCCTTGGTTTCAAAATGCCTCTCCACATTTTCATGAGTACCCTGTGTCACAATAGACTCTGGGTTGAAGTTCTTCAGTGTCACAATGGCTCCTTGACTTCCTGAGGTTTGGAAGAGACACAGTTCACTCCTTGGTTCCATGAGGTTTAGTAGAGTCACAATTCACTCCTTGGTTCCACGAGGCCCTGCTGTGTTCACAATGCCCATGGTTCCATCAGTTTCCATAGTGTCACTGTGATGTCCTTGGATCCACAGTATCCCAATGGTCTCCTTGGTACCATCCAGTCCCAACGTCACAATGGATTTTGGGTTCCATGAGGTTCCACAGCGTCACAAGGGTCTCCTTGGTTCCATGAGGATACAAAAGCCTTGCATAAACATTGAACAACACCTGCTTAACACACCTAAGAACATCTGTCTATATTCATAAAATGGGATAAAGTTGAGAAAGGCACCAGCAGCTTCCATCTGCAACAGAGATCCAGGGAAGGGACAGGGACAGAGAATTCAGCTGAGAGAGAATTCACAGAATCACAGAAACATTAGTCTGGAAGAGACCTTCAAGATCATCAAGTCCAACCTCTGTCTTAACAACTCAACTAGACCATGGAACTGAGTGTCATATCCAGTCTTTTTTCAAACACATCCAGATGGTGACTCCATCAACACCCTGGGCAGATCATTCCAGTACTTCATCACTCTTTCTGTAAAAAATACTTTCCTAGTATCCAACCTATATTTCCCTTAGCACAGTTTAAGACTCTGTCCTCTCTTTCTGTCATTGAAGCCTGAAGAAGGAGACAAACTCTCACCTGACTACAACCACCTTTCAGGGAGTTGTAGTCGTAAGGTCACCCCAAGTCCTCCTTTTCTCCAGGATAAACATCCCCAGCTGCCGCAGCCACTCCTCACAGCACTTGTGTTCCAGACTCCTCATCAGCCTTGTTACCCTTCTCTGGACATGCTCCAGACCCTCCAGATCCACACTTGCACCCAGCTTAGCGTCATCTGCAAATTTTCTGATGGTGGGCTCAGTCTCCCCCTCCAGATCATCAATAATGATGTTAAACAAGACTGGACCAAACACTGATCCCTTTGGGACACCACTGGTGACTGGATCCACACTGGATGCAGCACCATCCCCACCACTCTCTGGGCCCAGCCTCCAGCCAGTTCTTAACCAAGCAAAGTAGGTTTATTGGGAATGAATTTTCCAGGGAATGCTGTGGCTCGTGGTGTCGAAGGCTTTGCGGAACTCCAGGCACAAAACATCCACAGCCTTTTCCACATCCACCAGGCCGGTCACCTGGTCATACAAGGAGATCAGGTAGGACCTGCCCTTCCAAAATCCACACTAGTTGGCTCTGATCCCTTAGATATCCTGTAGGTGCCCTGTGATGGCACTCAAGGTGATCTGTTCCATCACCTTGTGTGGTTACTGCGTTAGAAAAAAGAGAGAGAGAGCAAGGAGAGCAACACACATGGACCACTTTAGGGAAAAAAAGGCCAACTTTATTGAACGGACAGCCCGTATTTAAAGCATATTACATGGAGCTAGGAGAGGACAGTTGCTCATTGGACAATTGGGAAAAACATCCATGGGACCGTACCTCAGGATGTGTCCCACAGGAAAAACACCAGGTGTCAATCTTTATTATGAATTCCACTA